TTGGACGTCCACGACAATGTGGTGGCCCATTTGCAGCTCACGGCAGCCGACACGCGCTCGTGGTGCCGCGCCATGGGCTCGTTCAACACTTACATCCTCGAGTTCCCGCCAGACTCGACGCCCGAAGACCGCGCGCTTCTGGTCACCGCGCTCTTCCAGATTGAATTCGCCATGTTTGAGACGACGGGTACCAGCTGGACCGAGTTTCTCGATTCGTAGCTTGCTTTGGGACGAACGCCAAAAACAAATTTCAAGCGCCCAGCGGCGACGCGCGCTTGCTGAAAACACGACGCTATATTCATACGCGTGGGGCCGCCATCGATTAGGCAGATGACACGAGTAAATATCATAAAGTGTCTGCTAGTACAAGTATCCATTTCAACTGTTCTGTAGTTTGTATCGCAACTATCATTGCCAAGAAACGTCGTCTAGCACGAATCACGAATGTAGTCACCACGGCGTAGTACTTACAACTCCCAAATATGAAAAATGGAAAATACGAACCGACTATGGGCCAATCAGCCAAACTGTTAGCCAAATACGAAAAACCTGGATATTTTGTCTTTCGGTTCAAGAACGACAATACCAACATCTTGATTGGCCCGGGGTGCGATTGCGTGATAGCGCTCATCGACCAAACGACGTCAGCGTCCTTGCGCATGGAACCGTCGCGCTACGAGGTGACCCACGTAAACGACCGCAGCTGCTCTCGCACTGTACCGTGCGCGATCTTGTGTCCAGTAGCTTCACAAAACAAATAAGACAATATGCGACTAGAATATTATCGTTAAGTCGACGGGCTCAAGTGGGCGGGCAATGCACCCGTCGTTGACGCCCAAACCAACGAGCTCGTCAAGGGTATCGACACTTGCCACGTTGTGGAAGTTCAGAGCCTTACTTGCTGCGCCGTCTCGGGCTTCTTTGCCATCTCGTTAGCGACGGGCAGCATGTGGCAAGTGCATACATGTACGGACAAGCGTCGCGGCCTTGATGGCCAGTGACTCGGACGTTGTCGGGCTGCGCGACGTGCGAAACACTCGATCCTTGTGTTCGAGCGAAGGCGTGTACCAGACGCATACGCTTAAGATAGGCCAGGATACGGCGATGGTCGATTGGTGCTGGGATATTGAGGCTAATCGCAAAGAAGCCAACGAGCAACGCATCTGAAGGTGGTGGCGCGAGGTGGAACAATTTGTACGAGAGGTCTAACCATCTTTGAGTTGGCGCAATGCATTGGGTCGAGCGCAAATGCTCATTACACAGTAACTCGACTTGGTTGGACTTTGCACCACCAAGAAAAAAATTCTAGTGTTAACCCTCCCAGGACGGCTGGCGGATTATCCGCCAAAAGACTAAAATATAACCTCCCTTACGACACAACGACGCATTGGACAAG